GATATATGGATGCTGTGACCCGTAGGCATCTACCATCTATACTGTATAAGAATCGAAATGAAGATGCGTGATCACCCTTGATTCTATAAAACCGTGATCATTTCTCGATCGAACCGAACTATTCGTGATACAACTGTAATATAGCTGCAGCATAGCTCTATTACGTCAAAAAATTTAGAAGATGAATAAAAAAATACAATTAAAATAGTGTCGATAAACCACAAAGGTTTATTATTAATGTTATTGTCGACATTCGTATCTCCATAAGGATCTAATAGGGAAAAGTATATACTACGTGATATTACATTGCGTTCTAAATAATTTTAAAATTAAACGAAAATATTCGATAACTTGTGTAATTTAATAACGGGAAGCTTGGTAAGTTCATTTCCAAGTGTTAGATCATTGTGGAGTAGGAAGTAAGATTTTAATTTAGTCTTAATATTTTCTCGTGTAATGTTATGTACGTGGTAGAGCCTTGCTACAGCTATATTATGGTTGCAGCACGAATGGGTCGGCTCAACCGGGGAAGGACCACGCTCTCACAGAATACCAGCGTAAAATAGCAGCCTAATACTGCTGTGTTTCGTATGGTGAGTGTAGATCCAAGGACCCTTTTTTACTGGAAACGAGGCATTCCATCTTAGTCCTCAGGGGTGACTACGTGTCTGCGTTTTGATTCTTAATCGAGGATAAATGTAGATGTCTATGTGCCACAGTATTCACTTACCATCAGGTGGACTGTGTGCTCGTTTGTCACCCTTATTCTTTAAAAAAAAAGGGTTATTACGTAAAACAGAGGGTTAGTTTTTGATCAGTCAAGGAACTAGATGAGTAGCTGTGACTTTCACCGTAAGTGTTATTAGTAAGAAGGATATAAAGCTTTACTTTTGTGAACTAAATAATTTCCCTTGATTCTACATTACAAAACTAATTTTACGGCATTTAATTTAGACTCATTTTAAATTTACGATTTTAGGTAATAGAATAACCTTGAAGGTAAAATAAGGGGCTATTATGAGAAAGGTTGTGAGCCCTCGGATTTATGATAAATACTATAGCCATGTATTATCTCGTGTGTGATAGATGAAGTAGAAGACAAATATTCAAAAGAAGTAATGAGTAGAAAAAAGGGTTATGTACTACTATGTAGATATCAGGACCAATCTTATGCTTGTGATACCAGTTACTCGACTTCATTGATGGGGCAATGTATCAGAAAATAATCTAGGTCTCTCTGTTAGAGAAAATATACAAGTTTAGATTTTTTATATAGCACAGAATTTATAAAAGTGCACAACCACGTGGTTTATAATAATCGCTCGGAATGAGGTGATCGCTTCCAAGCTGTTTCTTAAATGAGTTTTGTAAGTAATTGTGTTACCTATTTCTTATTGTATATAATGTTACTTTTCGAAGAAATGTTCCGCTGGGTTACTGTTTTTTTTTTCGAATTCGAATGATAATAGTTAAAAATAACTTTCAATAATAGACCGGGAGCTGGGGACAGGTGACGTTCCACGATTTTGTCGTGCATGCCTTTTTTAAGGCTTGATAACTAACCCTAAAATATCAAAGATTGTGGGGGCTTTAGCCCCGTCCTCTTCATAAGGAAAAGCGCTTTTCTTTGTGTAGCGAATTTTCGTGTTTTTCCGTGATAGTATACTGCATGTCCTTGTAATTACGGAAGTTCAAGCAAATTGAAGCTCTTATTGATGGCATGCACCCTCAAAGGTTTCTGAAAACCTGAAAAAAATTAATGGCAATTCCGTGTTTTCAAATTGCATGCCGATGTAAAGAATGGAAGTTTTTGTAAATGCATGCACCCCTCGTATGACAATGGCATGCAGTTTGGAATTACGCAAAATCGGAGTTCAATTTTTACAGAGTTTTCCGGAAATTTTCCACCGTTGGTCATACGAGGGGTGCATGCCAATTTTTCCGGATTTGCCCTTTAATTTTTTTCAGGTTTTCAGAACCCTTTGATCATCTTGGGCCGCTGCGGGGTGCATGCCATCAATTATTAGAGCTTCAATTTGCTTGAACTTCCGTATATTACAAGGGCATGCAGTATACTATCACGGAAAAACACGAAAATTCGCTACACAAAGAAAAGTGCTTTTCCTTATGAAGAGGACGCGCGGGGGGGCTAAAGCCCCGACAATCTTTGATATTTTAGGGTTAGTTATCAAGTCTTAAAAAGGCATGCACGACAAAATCGTGGCACGTCACCTGTCACCAGCTCCCGGTCTATAAGAATTGTTTATAATCGATATTGAGTAAAAATTCTTGTATTCTATTCCAACACTTTTTATTCTATATCGAAGTTGAAGTCGAACCATAGAATTATTTCTCAATATTTTCCTTTAATAAATGCTAGAAAATTATTTGTATTTTTAACAAATGTATAGATAAGAGAAAAGAAGTTATTCTAATACTGAATATAATTTTTTGGAGAACAAGGATGGCAAACGAGCAGACATTCCACATGATAGTCAGTGCATGCTGTGGGCCATAGACTCTTTTTGTTCAGTAGTGTGTGGGGAGTTTCTGTTCTCTGGGATGACAGTCACAATCTGTCTAGCTACACTAGAACCTTTGTTCTCATCGGTTGTCGGAGCTTCGAGATATATGGATATATGGCCACGTTAGCTTACTGATCCGTTGGGTTGTGTTGGTTACATGGGTTCTACTGTGGCTATCGTTACTCGATTACTATTCTCAAACCGTGGTCCTTGTTAGTTACTTGGCCTTACCTGTCCTGAACCATGTAGATAAAGAAGAGAGGTAGGAGGTAAAAAAAAAGGTTTTAAGTTTGTTTCTATCAAAGAAAGATATATGACTGTCATTGTTGCTTAATGGACCATACAGATAACAGGAGCCTGTATTTTTTTGTTAATTCGTGTGGATTTTTTTGAATTATAACTGATTTTAATTTCTTGTGGAACCTTAAGACTTCAAACGATTTTTCATTACTAGATATTGGGCCAAAATTTTTATGTCGTGATAGGTGGCTTATTTTTAATTTCCATGTCTCGCCGACAGTTCTATACGTATCCAAAAACTAAGAGAGATGATAGATACGAATAATGAACGTTCTGATATATTTTTTTTTATATAATAAGTGTGAGGTGTTAAGTGACAGGGCAATACGGTGATAATTGGCTGTTATAGTCTACATCTCTACTCGATTAAGAATTGAAACTGATGCATTGTCAACTCTGAGAACTAATAAGGAATGTCTCGATACCAGTAAAAAGCGAAAAAACTAGCCCTCCGTCACCAGGGGTGCTGGTACCCCGCCTGCACTTACCAAGCGAAACGCAGAGGTCTACTGGTGGATAGTGGTACCACCCCGGTTAGAGCCAGCCCATCCGTGTGACAGCAAAAGCTGCCACGTGTCTCTACCACTATTAAAACTACTACTACTATTCTCTGTAAACTCCATACGAAAGAATGCAACATTAAGCTGTTATTTTAAGCTGGTATGAGGCTTTGCCCTTCCTCAGTTGAGCTGTCTCATTTGTGTTGCAGGAATAATATTTCTGCAACTTGGCTCTATCATGTATGTATGCCGAAGCGTCCGAGTATTGCTGAGCATTAAAAAAAAAGTATTTTTTTCAGGGATGTCACTCCTATCTAATAATTTAAGAAATCTATAGGCACTATAATTTTTAGTTTAAATGTGTCTCTTTAAACTTTTACTGAATATTAAATACATTCTGAATGACATTGCAAAGCATTTATTTGAAGAATCCGTTGTATGTTCTAGAATGTGTAAATCTTAGCAATGGAGAGTTGAGTTCTAAATTGGTGATAATAGCTTTGCTTCTCTATTAAAGATTTTGCCATAGTTGCCACACCTTGTAGGCGGGTCGCAAACGCTGTTTTTTTATTCTTTTTTCAGTTGTTATCAGAAATATATAGTGGTAGAGCCACGCTACAGCTATATCATGGTTTCCAGCACGAATGGGTCGACTCGACCGGGGTAGGAGCACGCTCTCACAGAATATTTTTTCGTGTGGTGAGTGTATTGAACCGAAGACCCTTTTTACTGGAAAAGAGGCATTGCATCTCAGTCCTCAAGGTTGACGACGCATCTGTATTTTGATTCTTAATAGAGGATTAATTTAAATGTATATGGGCCACAGCATCCATTTACCATCAGGTGGACTGTGCGCTCGTTTGTCACCCCTACACTATAAAAAACAAAATCCTAATTTTTCAGTTCCCCGCTGTCGACTCTTACGACTCCAACGGGAAGATATAGGGGTCGTAGATTCTCTTACGGGGTTACCACATGGCGAACTTCAGGTATTATATTCCATATCTAAAGGTAGCTTTATAAACTTTGGTTTCCAGACAACATTGTATATATATTTTTTTTTAAATTTAATTTATATATACTTACAGTAAATTTTATACGTCTTTTCTTTATGTGCTATTTTTGGCTTTTATTAATTGGATTGTTACGAGATTAAAATAAGACAGAGGCCGTATTTTATATGGTTGGGTTAAACTATCAAATGAAATCCTTATTGTTTTGGAAGTAAATATAAAAATTTTGCTTTACCAGCGTGTTTTTCTTAACTACTACCTTTAAAAATTATGTATTCCTGATTAAAAGGTGAACTTTACTTGTATAAATATCTTTTTTGTAGTTTTTTATAATATAGTATGAAAAAATACGCGTATACAACGAATATAGCGTATGAAATTAATAAAGAAACAAACTGATAGCCAACTGAATTAATTTAAAAAAATAATTAGTTGTAGATAGGAGTTATAGCATACTGTGTTCAAATACAGTAGGCTAGAATTCAAATGGGCCACTAAGGTGATGCGTCGGAATCGCCAACGCAGCCCGATAATGTATTGTCCAGTTACGCGAACACCCCCGAAAATACAGCATGCGAAAAAAGCCATCCTCACCACCTCCCGTTAATGTCCCCCCACCGCGCACTAACCATCTTTTTTTTAATACATAACTTTTTTTCAAGATGCATTTTTACATGTTTCGGCCTAAAACTTTTCCCACCCAACAGCACCAGCCGAGTAAAGTGGTAACGCCTATCATCCGCCGGTCTTCTCTTTCCCGCGCGATAAAAACTCACGCCGGACGATAGTGGCGCGAGCGAAACGACTGTACCCGAGGCTGATACTTCGTCTTAAACTAAGATTAAGGCTGTATTTCGATTTTCTGAACGCAAACTCTTGACCGTTACGCATCGCACGTCCGCGTCAGCTTGTGAGGCCTACTTCCGGGAGAGACGTCTTCACGTGCTGTGGGAAATAATTAAATTTTAATAATAAAAAATCGCCGCGCTTAGAATAAGAGGTGACCGCTATATGTCTCACTCTAGCGTCCAGTGCGAAGGCATTCGCGCTACGACAATTGAGTTGAGTTGAATTGAATTGAGTCGGTTAAACCGTAAAAATTGTACGGGCGGGCAGCCTGCGCGAGAAAGAGACGAACGAAAGGCGGGTTGGCCGAGACCGCTGCCTTCTTCTCCTCGACTTATGCCGAGTCGCGGCTAGTGAACGTCAGCGTTTTGACGTGGACGGTCGTATTGTGTTCGCTCGTACGCTTGGCGGCCACAGAGAAAAAAAATATTTCGCGCGTCTTTTGACAGCTAATTTGAAACTTTTTAGTGCGTTCGGAAATTGGACTGAAATTGAAGTGTGGTTCTTGCAATTATAGCTGAATACATTGGAGTCATAATTTGCAGTGTTAATTATCGGCTTGGAGTGGCCGTTGAGACGCTATTAAGTGATGAATCAGTGAACGCCGGCTAATTAATAGCGCACTGTTGCTACGAAAACAAATCTTAACGCCTTTAACTGTCGCGGTATATTGTAAGTATTATTTTTTTAAATATATTAATGGATTAACACTTAAGTGCGCATACGCTTGTTATATATTATTTTTTACACGTAAAACTTTTTTAAACACGTGTTATTTTTATTGTTTGAAGAAAGTACCACAGACAAAATAGCAAACTGAAGTAAAATATTTGTAAATCCTACAAAGTAACGATTTTGAAAAATCTTTTTACCTATATTTAAGAATACACGGTAATATTTTTATTCGATTTAATGTAAGTTTTCCAATATATTTGGAATAATCGGTTATATCTATAGAAAATTTAATATATCCGATACAGATAATACAAATGATGATGATGTCGCATCATTTTTTTGTCGCGATAAAGTGCAAAAGGTGTCTACTGGGCGGGGCGAGCGCGCTACAAACAGCTGATTGGTTCGAACACGTCATGTGTTCAGTTTTTCGTAGGTATCACATATTTGTTTAAAAATTTTCCGAACATCCGCTGCAAGCGTAAAAGCATTTTAAAGGCCATATCAAAATCATTACTTATTAAATAAAGTAAAATATTATTAAGAAATGATTTTACGATACTTACACAATAATAATTATTTATTTCAGAATAAGGTTAATGCATTTTGCAAATAGATAAAATATTCGTTTTTCTTTTATTCAAAAGTAAAAGCAGTAATGTTTAAAATATGAATAATAAAATAAATACGTAACGTAAATTTTAGAAATTTCATCATTTTATCGATACATTAAAAAAAACTAATGCGCTAAAGTAGGTACTAAACTAAGGGAATCAAAAATTTCGAATTGAGTTAACTGTATCAATTATCTAATCATAGCCAACTCATGTACAGAAAATATCGAAAATAATATAATAAAGGTTTAATTAGGTATAATATAGAGCGTACGAATAATCTTGTGTAATTACTTTGAAAAAAAAAACTTATATGATATCAAGAAACTCGTTAATAAAACTGAGTATAATTTGTATAATAAAAAGTTAATTAGCAATATTAATAATATTTTTTACGAGGAAGAGCCAAGTTGCAGCTATGGCTGGGGCACGAATGCGTCGACTCAACCACGGGGTAGGACCACACTCTTACAAATACCATTGTAAACCCACAGGATAATGCTGCTGTGTTTTGTATGTGAGTGTAGAGAACTGGTGACCCTTTTTTCTGGTAGCTAAGTATTCCATCTTAGTCGTTAAAGCACGTCTGCATTTTTATTCTGAATCGAGGATAGATGTCTATAGACCAGGGCACCCACTTATCATCAGGTAGACTGTGTGATCGCTTTGTTACTCTTAAGGTAACTATTTGTATAAAAAATCTTGACATAACTACTAAATTATAAATACAATTATGATTTTTTAATACTTTAATTAATTATGTGGCCTCTTAATTACATTAGATACTTAATTACACGTATTTAAAATGCACACTTAGTATAGTTATATTGTAATAAAATTTCTTAAATGTAATGAAAATCTCAATTTTGATTAAAAAAATGAAACAGGTTTTTTATTTACAACGATAAACTCTTCTGTTTGGCAATGAAGTTTACTTTACTTGCATTTTTTTTGTTAAAATCTACTTATTTAAGGCTAATTATGAATTATTTAACAATGCAATTTTTTTTGTTTCTTCAACCCATGTTCCCTAAAATTAAATTTTAATTTTTTTTTTGGTACGCTAATCTTATTTATATCTTTACAAAAATTCCAAAAGAGTCGTAGCTATAACAAAATAAGAATCAATTTTGCATAAATATGTCAATAGACCTTTTTGGAGAAATATAATAAATATTATCTTCATCATCATCAATACAGCCCTTCAGAATTTGACTACTGACCGTAGGCGTCCCCCAAGGATAAAAATTAATATATTAATTATAAATATGATTGTGATATTAATTCATGAAATGATTAAAAAAACTTTACTTTCTAGTAAAGTAAAGTATTTATTTTCTACAATACATATTTCTCTACAATAGCTATCTACCAACGTATTATTAATATAACTTTGAAAGTTGGGTATGGCAGAAGAAGCACGAGAGTAGAATAAACGTAGTAGAAATGCGGTCGTTAAGGAGTATGCTAGGGTTGAATCTGAGTGAAAGGGTGAGAAATTGTGTAATAAGAGAAGAGTGTGGTATGTAAGATGATGTTGTGACGACCATTATGAAAGGAATGCTTCGGTGGTTTGGTCGTTTAGAAAGAATGAATGAGGAAAGAGTGACAAAGCAAATTTATGTTGCAGAAGTGAACGGCAGAGTCGGTAAGGGACGCCCTAGGCGAAAGTTTGTCGTCTAAATTAGCGATCTATTGAAAAAGGGCCAAATTAAGAGTACTCTTAATCGACGAGCATGTATGCGTAGGTATATGGATGTGGAAGAGGCGAGAGAGGTGTGTCAGTATCGTGCCAAATGGAAGTTGTAGTCTCTGCCTACCCCTCTGGGTAACAGGCGTGAGTTTTGTGTATGTATGTATGTATAACCTTTAACTCAAAGTCGTAAAGTTCTTCTGTAGCTAAAGCGTCTGTTTCCACACTCTATTTTTGTCGATAAACAGCAATACGCCTACTGTTTTTTTTTTTCAGTTCCTCCCGTTTGAAGGTTATGAGAACCAGAACAATAAATGTGAAATTGTAAAGCTGAGAGGCATTCCGTTTTAAAAGTCTGGTGGTCGCAGGTGTCCATGGTCTGCAAAATTCTCTTACCATGACTTGAACCGTTACATCGCCCGTCACTTTAAATTTGTACAAAAGTACAGTAATATCTTCAATATATACATTACGTTGAATTTTATAAGGAACTTAGTATTAAAAATACTTATTTAACTCGTGTTGAACATTAGCTTATGAGAGTACCAGGTCATAGTTTGAAATCATTGTATTGTCATTGTCCGGAAGAAAAGTTAAAGGAAGGGTTAACTAGAAGAGAATTCCACGCATTAAGTTGCTTTGTAAGACCCAAGGTGATTACAATTAATAATAAATAAAAGAAAATGCGGGTCAAGCTAATAAAAACTTGGTAAACAAAACGAGATACAGCTATCTACTTATATATTATAATCTATCTTAAACTATTCTCAAGTTTAAACTATTTAAAAAACTATTTAGAATTTTTAAAATATTATTCTCCTATTTTACGATATATTATATTCTCCTATTTTACGAGCTGCACTGAGTCACTTGAGTCCCAATTGTGACTCTGAATCGTAATTTAAATGATCTGCGATAATCTGTGTCTTACGAGAACACGTCGTTCGCATTTGCAAATAATATCAAGTAGCGGAATTGGTGTAAGTACATCTTAAATTAACTTGCTCGTTCGTTTTTTCAGCATTAAGACGTTTCGAGTGGAAACATCTCGCCATTTTACGACACTGAGTACCGTCTGACATCAACTTTTATAACCGTTCGAACAATTACGTCTAATCAGTGCCTTTTCCTCTCCACTCTAGTCCCACCCGCGAGCCACGCGTGTGAGTGGGACAACCACAACCACTCCGCTACGCCCATCAATGTCTAATTGCTTTTATTATTTTAAGGCATCGTAATCATTATGGCCGCAATAAAAATTGTAATTACTTCTCATTAGTTCAATTAAGAATTTTCTAGACACGGTATAGTTGATATGTTGATTGCAAAACGGTCCGATCTAGTGATGCATTGTGTTGAGAAAGCGGCGTTTTATTGCTATTACGTTAATAACAAGGGAATTGTCTATAGGTGAAATCCGACGTCGATAATCGATAAACTTTATGAGCGTTAGACACGGCTTATATCAATCAATATTAATGATCACTCCGAAATATGGAACTAATCGATGTATTTTAATTTTTAATATCCATAAGTTAAATGTTTTAGAACATTTGGAAAAGACCGACCGCCGCGGCTGTAGCGAAGCCTTCCTTACCCGCTTATTTTACGACCGTTTGAATTCAAACATGAGAATTCCTAGACTACAACAACACGTTCGGTTTTATCGATTATAAAACCGGAAAGCCTGTGCAGCTTAAAACCTAATTAATTAATAGTTTATTATATTGAAAACTACGAATCGATTCTATCGATTATTTTAAAACTGAATCTGAGAGAGCATCTATTAAATACAATAGTTTTCTTGCGTTAAAATCAAATTAAAATTAAAACAGTAATACCCATTCTTACTATCGACACTATTAAATTTTAGCTTTGAACATATTTTTTTCGAATGCTAATGAAATTTCAGTATTAATGTGAATCGGTGTTCTTTAGTGAGGATTTGTGGTCTCTCAAATCTGATGTAGTGACGGGGGCGATCCTGTACGTGTTCACAGACTGCATGCAGACTTCCCGGAGCACAAGCCGGACTGCTCCGGGAAGTCTGCAGTCTGTGAACACGTACAGGATCGCCCCCGTCACTACATCAGATTTGATAGACCACAAATCCTCGCTAAAGAACACCGATTCCTTCCAAGGATGATTCGCGAGGCTATTGAAATCAAAAACATCCTAATTTCAATAGAGAAGATGGCTGGGTGCTACCATCTGCTTGGGATTCTATAATAAATAAAATTATATCCCAACCCAAGCATACAACTGCAAGACTTCATGATACCATAAGTTCATACTGTATAGATCGGAACAAAAGTTAAATTTTAATCTATGGTAACCGCGGTTAACTATGACATCTGGACGTTGAACATCTCAGTCCTTCCCGTGAACATGGGTGCTGTAAAGCTCTCGAAACGTCGGGTATTAAAAAGTTAAATATACGCGATAAATTCCCTAAAAACTAGTATTATTTCAATGTGTAGTGTTCGCGCAAATATAAGAAATCATAACGAAAACCCATTCTGTGACTACTTTTTTACCACTATTTGCATTCATTACTACTACATTACCCCGTATTATATAATTAAAAATGAAACAAACAAATGAAAGTTATGTTACATATATTGACCGTATTTAAAATTGTAAAAAAAAAGAATAATTATATAGAGTGATGTATTCGATTTGAAATTGCA